GTATATATATATATATATATATATATATATATATATATATATATATATATATATATATATATATATATATATATATATATATATATATATGAATCCCACAGGAGTATATATATATATATATATACACATTGAATCCCACAGGAGTAACGAAGATGACATGCCAACCATAACTTGGAGAATCCTACATTCCAACATAAACAATGATGATGAGCGTAAGTGCATTGAGGCGTTTGAAATTAAGAAAAGAGCGGGGAACGTAATAAACGGATGCATTGGTAGAACAATTGACATTTAAATATATATTCTGCATGATACGCCTGAATAACAACATTTTAAATTTTAGCTCGTTTTTATCCACATTCCACCCTTTTTATTTAAATTTAGTCTAGCTTTGTAAAATATATTCAACGGACGTGATCTAGTTATAACATTCCCCTGAAGAAGCCTTAACCGGCGAAACGTTGGGACAAAATTTTTAAATTTTTTATTGCCTGTAGAAGTCTTTTTTAATTTTTTAAATAAAAAAATTATATTCATATATATACCAGGCATGATTCCAAAAACCTATTCACATATATATATATATATATATATATATATATATATATATATATATATATATATATATATATATATATATATATATATATATATATACATATATATAGTACAATCTGCAGACATGTATGTTTCGGCGTTCAACGCCTCGTCAGTGCAGCTTGGTACACGTCTAGATACGTGAGACACTCGTATTTATACCCCATGAACTTGCTCTCACCAAGGCATGTGGTACAAGACGGTGACTCAACGTATCCAGACATGCGCAGAGCGTAATGGGGCCAGAGTGCTCAAACGACCACAAGGGAAGTGAGCTTTGCATTATCGCTGATAGACACCCATTAACAACTCCGCAGAGTGCTCAACAACACCGAAGTGAAGGAGCGTAATATATATATATATATATATATACTTTATAATTATATGTCAGTTTGTTGATAAATACGGTATTTTAAAGGGTATGGGCAACAAAAAATTTGATTGATTTTATTGCATTTCATCTGAAAGAGCATGAAAAAATAAGCCGATTGGCCGTTTACTGCTCTATTCTATCTCATCTGGTTCCGAAGTTATACGCAAAAATGTGCAAAATATAAATTGCTGATTCAGCACAATGTGTGACGTCATAAGTGGGTAAGTATGTTTATTGAATAGTAAACTAAAGCATAGCTGAGTTATTATTGGCTCAAATCAAATGAAATTTTGCATACAGATAGTACATGATGAGATGCATGGAAAAATACTTCTAATTTCGTTGTCAAGGCAACACAGTCGTTCCCAGGCCCCTTACACTGATTTTGAACAACTAGTTGCATTTCTCTATGTGTACGTCATTTTCGAATTATTATCATGCAAGTAAACTTTCGGCATGCATAGGTATCGTACACATACTTTTGATATTATTTTATTTTTATCAGTACCTTGAATAAAGCTGTTTTATAAAATTGGCGCAAGGGGCCTGGGAACGACATTGTTACCTTGGCAACAAAATTAGAAGTTTTCTCCATGCGTCTCATCATGTACAATCAGTATCCAAAATTTCATTTGATTTGGGCCCATAATAACTGAGCTATGCTTCAGTGTATTATTCAATAAACATCTTACCCAGCTAATGACGTCACACGTTGTGCTGAATCAGCAATTTATATTTTGCACATTTTTGCGTATAACTTCGGAACTAGATGAGATAGAATAGAGCATTAAACGGCCAATCGGCTTATTTTTCATGCTCTTTCAGACGAAGCAATAAGATAGATGAAGCAATTTTCGTTGCCCATACCCTTTAAGCGCCATGTAAAGCTCATTGTAGTCACTGAAACCTCTGCGGAGATGGATGCGGATGTGGCGATTTAATATAAGCTACATTTGCAATATATTTCGCTAATTTGTGATTATTTTTGTTAATTTTATAAGTTCATTGCAGTTTTTAATAATTTAAATTCAGCCGTTTAGTGGGCTGCCTATGCTATAATTAGATTGTTGTTGTCGTTGTGTCAAATTTAAATTTCTCCTGCGACATTTTGATTGGATACTAAATATAACTTTGGGTGGAAAGCGATCAGGTTAAGTTTTGTGTCAGGCTCTATTTGTAAAATAGAGCCTGATACTCAGGTTACTATAATGTTGTCAAGATCTTGCCGTGATAGTTCAATATCTTGCCATGATTGTTCAAGATCGTGCCATGATCTTGTTAAGATTTCCACAAGATGTTGCCATGATCTTGCCATGATTTTACTATAATGTTGTCAAGATCTTGCCATGATCTTGTCAAGATTTCCACAAGATCTTGCCATGATCTTGCCATGATTTTACTATAATGTTGTCAAGATCTTGCCATGATCTTTCAAAATCTTGCCATGATTATGTCAAGATTTTCACAAGATCGTGGCATGATTTTACTATGATCTTGTTACAATCTTGCCAGGATCTTGCCATGGCCCTTCAAAATCTTCGTTTGCATGACCTGGTCAAGATTTCCACAACATCTTGCCATGACTTTACTATAATCTTGTCTTTCAAGATCTTGGCATGATCGTGTCAAGATTTCCACAAGATCACAGCGTTAATTAGTGGGGGGGAGGGGAGTGAAAAGAGATGACAAAATAGAGCAAAAGATCAAGATACTGGGAAAATATGTCGAAGAACTGTTTAAAATCGTTCAAGAGTTAAGAGAAATAAAACAAGAGAAACAAAATAAGACGTCACATGTAAGTAGTTATGATATTGATGATCATTCAATGTTCCATCTTCAATGAGTAATTCTTTCATAAAAATGCGTATATTTATCAATATTATACCTCAAATTCAAATTGTCCAATCAGGAAGCTTAGTTTGTGGCACGTGAGCATGAAATTAATCGCGATATCACGCCTTACGTCATCAATTAGGGAGCCTGCGTTCCTTTTGACAATGTTCCACCCATGTTCCCCGGGGAACATGGGGTCACAGAATAGGAAGGTACAGCAGAAGTGTAACTCGAGCAAGTATTTGTCCACGTTTTTACAAACGATTCGTCATCAATCACGCCATCCTGGCTAGTATAAAGCTATGTTTACACGCTGCGATTTGTCGGACCGATTTTGGTAAATAATCGATGCCCCTTCTTCGACATTTAGCGATTTAAACGTTCAATTGAAGCTGTCCGCTCTCTCGTCTGTTCATATTATAGTTTTCTGCGTGCGAAAAGTTTTCAACAACTTTACAACGGAAGAAAAATCGTTGAATCGTGAGAAAAATCTGTGTTAGTGTTACAGATTTTTCTCTCGATTTTGTGAATCGCAAGGTGCTGACGCGAGTACTGGCGACAGGTTATTTACATACAGCGAGCAAAATCGGCCCGACAAATCGCAGCGTGTAAACGTACATTAACCGGCACTTTGTATCTACCAAAACCTGACAAAAACTTCCAGTTGTATACTAGCCAGGATGGCGTGAGCGAGTTAAAATGTTCGTGGACGTAAAACAATAAAGGAAACGACTCAAGTTACACTTCTGCTGTTCCTTCTTATTCTGTGATGGGGTAGAACATTATTCGCGTAGACCACGCGAGACAACACGCATGACAACAACATGGCCGACAAAATATAAATACTAGTATTGATGAATGATGAATAATCAAAATTTAAACGTAAAGCCTGGGGCTTTTTCAAAATTTTGAAGCAAATTTTGATAAATGTTGTCATTAATATTCCAAACGATATGTGATTCGAAAGAAAAGCGACTATACTTGCATTAATTTGAAAGTAAAACATCTTGTTTTTGATGTTTTTGTAGCTATACTTGCACTATTTTATATAAATATTTAACGACATATTTGTGGTTCCCAAGAGAATTTATAATATTAAGTGTATTTTATAATTTGTATGTTTTAATCGATCTTCTCAAATTCAAGTTTGAACATTCAACCTTTAATTTTAGCATTTAATCATCGTAACAATGTCTCGTCAATGGTAAGATAAATGTAAAATTTTAGCAAGATCATTGATAACTTCTGGCCTGGTAAGATCGTAATCATACATGGCTGGATTTTGAGAACCTGTAGGATTTTTGGCAAAATCATGGCAGGGACATGACAAATCACTGCAATATCATAACGATATCATGGTAAGATCCTGCAGGATTTAAGCAGAATTGACAGCAAGATTTTCATAAGATCATGGCAAGATCTTCGTAAGATCATGGAAATATCATGGCAAGTTCTTCGTAAGATCTTCGTAAGATCATGGCAAGCTCTTCGTAAGATCATGGGAAGATCATGGAAAGATCTTTGTAAGATCATGGCAAGATCATCGCGAGATCTTCGTAAGATCATGGCAAGATCATGTCGAGATCTTCGTAAGATCATGGCAAGATCTTTGTAAGCTCATGGCAAGATCATGGCAAGATCTTGCAGGATCTTACAAAGATCTTGCAAGAATTTGCAGGATTTATACAAGATCTTTGTAAGATCATGGCAAGATGATGGTAAGATCATGGCAAGATCATGGTAAGATCTTGGTAAGATCTTGATAAGATCTTGCCAAGATCGTCAACCTGGGCGGCCAAGAGGTGTGATTGTTGTAAAATCTTTCTCATCCCCAGTGGGTCTTTTCGTTCCACCGCCACTGGTAGGTCGTATAATATATATATATTATATATACGTCAATTATTTTCAATGAAATTAAATAGAGAAAATAAAATAAACAAATAACGAACCTCTCTACCAATGCTAACATAGAACGCAAACCCGAATAAATCCACAATTCTTTTCGCTGCTTTTATTTGTTTCCTAAATTCAAGGCCTGTAGTAGCCGAGTCCAAGGTTAGTTTGCAAGATTGCCCGCTGGGAAGATGTACTGCAATGCTAATCGAAGCTTGATTTATGATTGCCTGAAATTACAAAAGATGTTGGTTACAGAAGTTTGATTTTTCAAGCATGCTACAATATACAAATAATGAATGTTTATGAGTGCAATGGTAAGAATATTTTCATGAGGTGAAAGATGGAATGTTCCATTCAACGAGGCGACAGCCGAGTTGAATGGAACATTCCATCTTTCACCGAATGAAAATATTCTTACCATTGCACTCATAAAAACATTCATTATTTGTTTTATATAATACCAAAATAGACTCAATATTAAAAGGTTTACTATAAGCTCCCGCCATTTTGACGAGTCGTATTTGCATTCAATCCCATTTACTGAGTTTCGAATATCGGGTTAAAATAAACTGCGATCATCGTACGAGAAGCATTTTGACGGATGCGATTTATCGAAAACACAAAGAGTGCAATGGAATAAAACGTATAGTACAATTGCACTCGCAAGAGTGCAATGGAACGTATTCCATTGCACTCTTGGGAAATGGAATTTTCTATTCAATATCATGTGACCATAAACAGCCAATTAAACGATCAGAATTCAATAAGGTATTATATAATACGTAATATTGAAAATTGTTCTTGCTTGCTTCAGGTTTTAATAGGCTTACACATTCAAGGAAGTCGACAACGGGAAGACAACCACTCTCAGTACAATATTAATGACAGTAAAATATAATATAGCACAAAAGAAAATAATAGTTTACAGCCCATACTATTAGGGGATTAATTACAAGTCGTCCAAGCTCTGTTAACAAGGACAAAATACATATTTCACGTCTCATATAATACGCGACCATCTCAAGCCGTGGCAGGTATTTTTACTAGCTGAGAGGTGATCAAAATTGTTCAGAAGGGTAAAACTCTGTTTTAACCATTCGAAACTGTATTAAATATGCGTAAACTCACTAATGCATGAGTAATGAATGATGCATTGCGCCCGGTCGAATTGCATTTCACGACTCAACAATTTCGATATTCCGAATCCTGACATTTATATCATGTAGGTGGACATATAAAAACTAACCTGATATTCGTACGATGATGGAGGTTCATTTCTTTTTCCATTAAGAAGTGTTCTTCGAAGTTTTTCAGTGCAATACGCCCAATCTTCCTGTGGAGCTGACTTCAAAATGCTGATCAGATATGGGTAAAACTAAATTAAATATAAAAGACGAATAAAATTCTCTTCACGGGACAGCATGTGTATTTCTGGCAGAACGCAAAACCGGACGAATTTGAAAATGCAAGAAAATTTCAATTCGTCAAGTTAGTTCACTTGTTCAAACCGAGTACCACATGAATGTGCACACGCGTACGCAAATAGATTTTTTGTTTATTTTATAAGTATAGAGATTTCCGTGCAATAGCTGGTGAAATAAAGATGTGAAATTTATCGTCCCAGCGTTTCGATTAGTCGGAGACGATTTTTCTCACATGTGTCGAATTATTGTCCGTTAGTGTTTTGATTGGCTAGTGGTTTCGAGTTCATAATTGTAAACATCGCGCCTGGTTCATGGTGCATGCTAACCAGTCAGATTCTACGTCCGAAAATTGAACGGCGTTTAGTCATAGAAGCCAGGCCTTTTTCTCCTGTCATCTTTTTCTCTTCAATCAATATACGTGCAACTATATACGGTTTATATAGTTTCTGTCCTGTTACACGGTCTGTTTCCTCTACACATTATTAATTTTTAATTTAGTACTATACTTACAACATATCTCCGTGTTGTAAAAATCAAACGTCTTGATGAAAACTTAATTCGTATTGACAATTTAAAATAAAGGAATGATATTTGATGAGAAAATTGAACTTAAACGTTTATCGGTAAAACAGCATAATTTTGTATCAGAGAGCTATACAAACGCCTTCACGGTCTTTTTGGTGTTTTCGTCATGAGTTTCAAAATTTATTTATATTGCTACGAACATTCATTTTCTATTGTAAATGTTACCTCGCCGGAAGGAGGAAATGAAGTCAGGCAACACGCAAAAAGAGACCAGGCCACTTTTCGAACTTTCTCTGAAGAATTTCCATTAATTTGCTTATAAATCTGGCAAAATATTTCATCCCTAATGCAATGAAGAAAGAAATTTTGTTATATTTTATACACTTCAACAAAAGTTACTTTATTTGTGCGACAACTATTGCGCCTGATGACTTTCAACTAAATTCTACGTACTAAGTAAAGTTTGTAGATGTCTTTTATGCATGGGCGTCTACTCATCGTTACCATTATGGAGAATGTTTTCAGATTTGGACAGGTATAGCGAAACATTTCCGTATATATATAGGCCACCGATCGGAAATTGCAGCCAAATATTGACACCAAAGGCAAGGCAATTTACCTTACCTGAACATGCTTAGGTTTTACGCGGTGTTGAATTCCGAATTATTATTAAATCAACTAAATTATTTCATCAATTAGTCGACAAAGTTCGTGATTTCTTCGCAAAAAATTCATGGTAATTAAAAAAGGCTTTAAAAGTCTTAAAACAATATTATTACGAAACGCTTGAATAAGGAAAACTACTGTAAACGTATACAAACAGATCGAGCCTAAGTATATGTTGAAATTATAAAGTGAAGATAAAGCAAAAAGAAGAACGCGAAAACGAAAAACTGTAAACTGAGCCAACAGTGTCATGGTAACGGTGTCACGCATGCAATTTCCGATCGTCAACTTTGTCTTTGAAAGGGTTGAAGCCATCAATAATGCGAATCTGAACTTGAGAGGGGTGGCCTCTCTCAAGCTAGAATTATCATCGCACACGTGAGGGGATTAGGTGCAAGTTAGATCCTCCTCTCCCCTTTCCATGCAACATTATTTCTCTAATCATATTTTCACAGTTTATTTACAAAACAACCACCAAAAGGTGCCAGTTAAAACTCTAAAATCATGCGTCAGTTAATGTAAAGCGACTACTCTAAACATATCTTTGTATAGTTTTGAAACAAATATAGCTAATAGCTGTGGCCATAATATGGAAAAGATATATCAAATTTAATTTTTCGCGTTTTACCTCATTTGCGAACCTAAAATTCCAAGACCACAAATGAACTGAACATTGTCGAGGTCTGTAGTTTTCCAGCGTTGAAAGAACGAGTAAGGGCTAAATTTTCCATCTATACTGCCCTTTTTAAGCCCACTTATTAGTTCTCTAAAAATAGGCTGTAACGAAAAATAATAATATACTGATTTTATATAGAGACATAGGACACTGTGAACACTAGATTGCATTATGGGTTGATGAAGATTAAAGTGCGACTAACCCCATGGCCAATTATAAGTTTTGGTATTAGTAATATTTGTGTCATTCTAAGAAGATTTGTAATATATCTTTATCAGTACAAAACCTGATCTTGGTCAACTTTTTCACTGTCAAAGTTTCCGGATATGATGTCATTAGGTGAATTTTTGGTACAAAAAACAAAGGAAACTAATTTGCAATTCACCTAATGACATCATATCCGGAAACCTCTTACAATTTTTGTTACTTCGTCTCGGTGAATATTGCCCGATAATCACCTCGCCAATAATTGTTATAAATATCGAGATTTTAGGGCGCCCCGTTTGAAAGGACTGATATTGTAGATGGGTTTTCGTGGATGAAATGTTTTCGAACGCAAATAGATATGTATTTTTAGACCTAACCAGGGAGCAGTTGCGAAAACTGCAGTATAGCCCATCTCGCAGGAATGCGGTTCGTGAAAGGAAACCGTTGCATCTTAGTATTATTCCTGAATATTTAATGAGCAGTTGCTTTACAGCTCTGCGTCCTTTATCAACCTTCCAGGCAAGAGCTAATTATCTTTCCTATATTAAAAAGCTTAAATTCTAAAGCCTGGTATCCATATGGTCGTATAATGGTCGTAAAAACGCCCAGTTTATACCTGTAAACCACATATAAATCATAAGTATTCTCTAGTTATAATCACTCCGCGTATTTTCAGTTCTAAAATGTTATATTTCGGCTGATGAGAAAGATCGTGACTCGATCTTTACGACCGTTACGACCATATGGAAACCAGGCTTAACTGTAAATGTAATGACAAAGAAAACAACCAAAAACAAAAGTATATTACCTGATTGAGAAGTGCACCTTGCGGTTGCCCTCCTTGTTTAGTGTAACGAAATATCGCTAACGAAATTGCACGAGCAGTCTATAATTGCAATTATAGTAACATTTATACCACACAATTCAAATTCATTAAACGACCCCTCCATCAACTGTTTAAACAACATTAAACTACCCAACCATCACCTTGCATGCGAAGTGGTAGAGTCCTTGTTAATTACAATTTGCTGGTATACCCATAGAGATTTTATAAAAGGATAGAGTGGACATTGATTGCGGGAAAAGTCCAGAAACAAATTGAAGCTTCCTGATGGGGACAAATTACGCTATTTGATTGGATAAAATCTTATTCCCTGGATGTGAAGTCTCGTTCCCGGGCGAATGCTGTTTTGGCATAGCGACAGAAATAAAACAGCTTTGGAAACTTCGACTTTTTCTAGTAGTAGTATAGTTAAAGCAATGACTAAAGAATACCTTGACTTTATTAAATCAACAAGAATATAATGCAAAACAAGTTTTGGAACGGTGGAAATGTTTTAAAATGGGTTTATTTCGGTGTTGAAGGGCGGAGTTTGCTTCGTTGGCCTTAATTTGGGGGCCCCCTTTGGTTCAAAATTTGTCAATTTTCCCATAATTCAAAGCGGCCTCAGTTTTTTCACAAGTATAGTAAAACAGTGAAGACCAGGGCCGCCCAGAGGAGGAGAGGGGGGAGGGATTAAAAGTGGAAAATTGTACTCGGCGTCAAGTTAAAGGGGGCGCCCAAAAATGTGCCGGTGCCCCCCCCCCCCCAATCAGGAATTCGTAAAGTGTGAAATTTTCGGGAATGTTCTGAAAAATTCAGGTAATTAAATTTTCAATACTTGAAGGCATTTGAATTGAAGCCACATGATGAAAAGAATAACTTTTCTTGGTTTTAGCACATGAATTTTCCCCTATAATTCATAATTTCCCTTGTGTTTGACTAAATTTATTCCGTAATGCTTCCTCAAATTCTTTTATAATCTCTATGGAGATGTCTACCAGCTTCTCGGCATTCAAGCTGATATGCAAAATTCCCACTTCACTGTTGCTTATTTACACTTTTGAGAGATGTACGTACTATTTTTGTTTTATTTTTGTTTTATTTTTTTGTTTTATTTTTGTTTTATTCTATTTTGTTTTATTTTTGTTTTATTCTATTTTTATTTTATTCTAGGAGATTGCACTGTTTCGTACTTGAATATCATTATATCAGTAAACCGAAAAGAAAACCGGCATGAATCAAAGGTAGAACTGAAAATTGAAGCTGAGAACAGTGGGATGCCAGGATTTTATGACCCAACTACACAAGAAACAAAGTGGTGGCCCAAAATATCCGCGGGTGCTTGCATGCTGAAACGATACTTTCTGCCTTGTAAAAGTATTAATAAATCACCTTTTAAACAGTGTGAACAAGTGTCAAGAGATTATAATATTCAGCTATTATTATTTAAATCGGCTCTTTATACAAAATCTGCAAAAAATTTAACTTACATCTTTATCCAGAACAGTTTTAAAGTGATGTAGAGGTTGATGTAGCGGTTTTTTCTCAGCAGTACAGGTATGAAAGCTTTGAAATTTCTTTGCTGCATATTTGGCAAAGGTCCTTTCTTCTTCCAAATTGGTCTCCTGTGCATAATTGGACAGAAATAACGTTTGGTCATTTATTAATTATTAACACATAATTACTAATTACGCAACAATTTTTTTGTGTTCGAGAATTTTAAATATGAAAGAAATGTTTCGTGGTAGAGATATATGTTGACAACTGTATTAAATTTGGTTAGAGTCTATATTGAAGCAAATTTATTCTTGAAATCGACATCATTCAGTGATATAATTTACTTTCTGTTTTGATTCGTGAGGTAGCCGTCTGAGAAGTCTGATCCGATTCATGTACAACATCCTATGGGCCGGTACTTGGACTCGCTTATGCCATATTACCACAGTTATTAACTGTGATATAACCGAACCATTCCTACGTACAACTTTGTCATCTCAACTTTTGCCAACAATGCATTAAAAACGTTATCATGATGCCACTTCTGTAGATAGTTTAAACAGCAATCGAAATTATATTAATAGAATAGAATAGAATAGGCAATTCCAATTAGACTAATTTTAAAACTAAGCAAGGAGATCACCACAGCTAGAAAGAGCATATACAAAAATGAGTAAAATTGCAAAGTGTGGTTGCGAAATGTTGTAAAATGCGTAAAATATAGCCTTGCAAAGTTTGCAAATTTTGTATACTTTTGTATTGCGTGCGGAAATTGCTACCATTTTACAACATTTTGCATTTTTGCAACCAAACTTTGCAATTTTACTCATTTTAGTACGCTCCTTCCGAGAATATACTTTTTTGCCAAGATAAAAATTAGTTTATAATTGGAATTGTCTATTGCCACCATGCAAACTTTGACCAACTGATCTGTAAGTGTTAAAAATTAATATTCTATAGGACGACACTCTCAGATGTTGAACCGTGACCGTCGGCGAGGCAAATACACACACCTATATGCACTTATGTTTCTCAGGTTCACACTTCAGTATACAAATACAAGTGGTTTTTTTTTATCTTTTTTCCTCAGTTTTATTAAATACAACACTGTTTTTCACAGGCAAACATTGTGCCAACAACATGAGGCCATCACACTATCATATTTCACACTACATTTTTAGGGACTATTGTGGCATAAAATTATTACTAGAACACCAATTTGGTTCTCGTTACCTATATCTAAACCTAAACACAGGTCCGCTGTGGCGGACATGCATCTGCTGAATAGAATAGTAGCACTGGGAAATAAAAGGCATTGAGCAGATAAAAGTATAGATGTGCATTCTGACCTTTGGAATCGATTTCTGGCATTTCCAGAGTCATAGCACAAACACAAACACAAGCACAAGTACAACGTGACAAACGTCGCTTTGTTGACGTTTTAAAATTGTATTTCCGGTTTGGATTGCTAGTTTATTGTTGTTAGTAGCTTACAGTCGGGCCAGAAATCGGAATTTTTATATACCGTGATAAAACTAAAAGATACAAATTTGAAGATACAATCTCGAAAATATAAACACTCCACATTATTAATTATTGATAATGATTCGAACAAGAACATTGCAATGAAGATACGTCTATTAAAGAGGCCGAAGTTATATTTTTGTTCAGACAATTGTGTAATTTGATATTAACATGCGATCTCGCTTGACTTTCAAAGGCCATAAATCGCTACAATGTTGATAATGACTAAGACTCATGTGCACTGAACCGAAGATATGAGCATACAAAGTCGCATCCTCTCGCGCAGTTATATACGGCATTCTTCGTGTATTGCACTCCGCTCGTGTTATTGACAAAACCATTTTATTGAGTACCCGTCGAAGATATGAATTAACTTACAATCGAATGCGAATGCAATCTATGATACAATCAATGGATACAATCAATGGATACAATCGTATGCATTTGAGCCATGCAGCGTTACTATATGCTGGCAAGGGAAGAGTTAGATGCGGACAATAAAAATGACCATAAATAACGAGTTCGACCGTCAACAGTTCCGAAATTTGCGTCGGCGAGCATCGCAGGGCGATTTACGACAAATGAAACCGCGGCCTATCGAGACAGTCGTGATAAATAAAAGACGTCTTGTTGCGACAGCAGTCGACGGTAGTAGCAGATGACAGTCTGCGATGATAAAGCAAATTAAAACACTGTTCCGTGTTCGGCTTCTCTACACGCATGAACTTCTCGCTGAGTCATGAAAACAACGCGGAAAATAGCAGACGAACTAGAGACAGTTCTATACGTAGTGAAAATTGCCTGCCTGCGATGCCCGCCGACGATCAGGAAATGTAGCGATCGGCACTGTCGGAAAGCGTCGCCTAGCAATGAAAACCGCCTTCATGAAAGTGAAGTAAGCGAACTACAGTATAGGCCGTATGGCGTGTTTGGAGGGCGTTACAAACGCCAGTTATATGGAGGTGCGAATTACTTTGGCATTAGAAATGTTGAACCTTTGGAAGAACGCGAGCAATATATTATATAATTTATAAATTATAACAGCATTAGAAAGGATAGTTGTACGATAGTTGATAGTTGTATAATGTCCCCCTTTGAAAAATGCCGTGATATGAAATGCATTCATAAGGAATTATAAAATCAGTATGAAACAGGAGTAGATGCAGGGGGGAGACATGGGCGTTGCGCTGAGAGGACATTGCGTTGAGAGGTTGAAATGCCCAGCGCTTGTAAGTAGTTTCACCCGAGAACACCTTGCCCCTAACCCTTCAGGCCTTATCCTTAATTAAATTAGCTGCATATATACAAACAACGATAGAAAGGTTTAGTAGATCAAAAGGCAAGAAACATAAACAAAATTGCCATGATAATAATAATATTAAATTAATTGTCTGCTTCCAGTACAACTGAGCAATATAAACACTCCAACCCCAATACCAACTACCAAGTCAAACCTCATGAACGTTAGTTTGGAATATTCTTTGAACTAAATTTGTATTTAATATAATTCTGCAATAAGTTTAGAGCTGAATTTTAAAAAGTACATATACAAATGTAAGCTTTCATTGTGTACGTTTGCATGCCATTTGGCATTTACGTTTCGTTTCGTATTCATTTGTTTGACAATATTATGCTTTACAATATACAGTAGATGAAGTAACTCATAAATACATACCATTATGACAACGTTGTCTTGTCTTGTTTGTAGTGATAACAGGTATTAATTCAAGAACGAATTCAACATGATTCTATACGTCTAAATTCGAATCTATAAACAAACCACATACATTCATATCGCTTACTTCATGGTAAAACTGCGTAAAATATGCATTGTTGTATTGAATAATTAACATGCCTTACAGCTGGGTCAGCCAAGCGTTCTAAAACAACTTCATATCGTTTTAGCTATATATCGTTATAGAAGTTAGTTCATTTCGATTTTGTTTTACCATGGTGAAATATTTTTTCCTTTTTTGATATGGACTAATTATATAGGTTTCGTATAGGTCAATGGTCTATAGTCTTAATCGAATAGTATTTCGGTATAAACTTAATATTTACATTAAAAGTTGCGATAATTCAAAGAGATTCTGTGGGAGGCGAACACCCTGCTGTGCGAGGAATCCGGAAAGCCCCTTCTTACTGATCTCCAAAATACGGACTCGATCATTGGAATGCATCAGTATAACTGGAACGCTATACATTCAGATAAACTGCCTATTTTTTTCTTAAAGACAAATTTGTCTTAGACAAAATCCCTGTCTGGGCACATATTAGTCTGGGGGTCAAGACCTGCGTGTTTATGCCTCGCTATACTCTCGCGAGACCAGTCAGTGAGGAGGGCCCCCTATACCTCATCACAATATGCTTTCACGTAAAAATATTTTGCCTTTTCACGAGTCACGGATTAAGAAAGTCATCGATCACGTTTCACGGCTAAGTAAAATAAGCCCTTTACGCTTCACGCAAAAAGTATAGGGGGCCCTCAGTGAGCGTGCCGTTCTAATAAGAAAAATTAAGTAAAATATATATTAAGAAGTTTTACCTAACCTGCCTCATAGCAGGCGTTTAGCAGGCTAAGTTTTACCTAAATAAACGCATTTATTGAAAGTTTTCAGTGCTGTTAAAAAGCATTTTTTGAAAATTTTAAGCCGGTTTTCAAGAATAAATATTCATGACGGATTGACCACGTTCTTCGCATGCCTGAAAAGACTGGGACTGGCCTTCAAGTTTGGCGTCAAATTTCTGGTTGAGGTAAAGCGTTCCAGTGTTATATATATATATATATTCATTCGTTTCACTGCCCGACATGACTTGATAAAGCATCTCTTTAAATTTTTATATCATTCTATAGGGATATTTTGCTATTGCCAGTAAATATCGACATTTGAGCATTGATTCAAGTTGTTTTCTTAAATTTCTTAAATTTCAAGCCAATTAATTAAGTTTTCTCTTATACAACGTGACAACTAACGACTCCAAGCAATTAATATTGATGTTCCGAAAGTTTGGCAATACAATATATATTTCTAGCAGTAATAAATGCATGAAGCAACCCTTATAGTTTCTGAATCCCTATGGTTCCTAAACATTTCAGTCAAACAAAGAAAACACAAATTCAAAAAAATCCAATTATTATACCATTGAAATGAATATAATTGGAACGCTACCTTCAGATAACTGAACTGCCTGTCTTTTTAGTGAAGCCAAATCTGAGCCCCAGACATGCGGATTCCCTCGCGGCACACATTTATCGTTGAAAAAGTGAGTTTCAATGAACAATTATGAGAAAAAATCTAAGGAATAAGCGCATTAATAGAACGTTTTCAGCGCTGTTAAAAAGCTTTTTTGTAAATTAAATTTTAAGCCAATTTTCAAGAATAGATTTTCATCTGTGATGACGTATTGACCGCGTTCTTCGCATGGGTGAAAAGACTGGAACTGGCCTTCAAATTTGGCGTCAAATTTCCGTTTGAGGGTAGAGGTAGCATTCCAGGCTATCAAGGTGAAATGAGATCCTGCACTGATGACATACAATTTTGAATATCTGCCCTGAAATGTTCTTTTTCCAATAATATGGAATGTCTACCCTTATATGGTGTTGTTTACAACATTCGTGCAAACTAAATTATTTTAGTAGGATGCCGCTGTAATATACACAAACAAGGAAACAATACTATTTCAAAAGAGCTCTTGTTGTTATATTCGTCTTGTATACAATCACATTTCCCCCAGTCTCTACCTGTCATCAGATATCTATATAAAACGTCTCTTATTACTTAATCCCTATTAAACCATATAATCACTAGCATATGTTACAATATCCCCCTCTTTAATTGAGAGCGTCCTCGATCTCTAGTTCATCTAAGTTATAATCCTGATATCTATCAGGTTGTCGGCGATTACGGTTAGACCTACGCAATTGGATCAGCTCCTCTGCTGGTAACAGCTGTGCGTCCGCCAGCCTCTCTCCGTGATGTATCACTGGCTCGCCTGGGAGCAATTCGACTCTCGAGTTGTGCTTTTCTGGTTGATCAACAGACAGGGTTTCTTCGATTCTAGGCTGGCGTATGTCTAGCTTAAGTCGATTGCGATGTACCACTTTTGTCTTACCGTTCCCAGACCCCGGCTTGATATGGTAGTTTACCTTGCCCAGTCTCTTGATCACTACGTAAGGCCCCGTCCACGGTGAATGGAATTTTCGGCTCAAGCCCTTTGGTACCGCTTTGTTATTGAGCCACACCCGATCCCCTTCCTTTAGCGCTGTACTTCGGTCAACGTCATTATGTTCGTCGTACCCTTTCTTCTGCTTACTTTGCGCCACGTCAATGTTCGTTTTGATGCTGCGATGTACGTCCTTTAATGTCTTCTCCAGTTCATCACAGTAATTTGAAATAAACTGTTCCTTAACTTCAGTTTCGGTGTTCATAAGTACCAGCGGTGTAGTGGCTTCGCGACCATAAATTGCCTGGAAAGGTGAAACCCCAGACGAGGAATGCACACTGTTACGGTATGCAAACAAGGCCAGTGGTAAGTGATCGTCCCAATCATTATGGTCCTTATTTACATAAGCTGTCAGAATTCCCTTTAACGTGCGATTCATTCTCTCAACTTGTCCGTCCGTTTGGGGATGGTACGGCGAAGTTCTTAGTTTTCGCACACCGAGGAGACTGAACACTTGCTTCATGAGATCGGCCTCGAAGTTCCTTCCTTGATCGGTTAGAAGTTTACTTGGGACTCCATGTCGAGTCACTACTTCATTAACGAAGGCTTTAGCTACCGTCTCGGCACGTTGATTGGGCATTGGCACCGCCTCTACCCACTTGGTAAAGTGATCGGACATAACCAAGATGTACTGGTTCCCCCGTGCAGTCATAGGAAGTGGACCTAATACGTCCATAGCCCACAGTTCCATCGGTTGTCCAATTTCTATGCTCTGCATGGGTGCCTTTTGAGATGGGACGGGTGTTTTCCGTCTGTTGCACTTTTCGCACTCGGCTATCCATAGTTGCACTTCTGCTGCCATTCCCGGCCAATAATATCGTCGTTGCAGACGTTCTAAGCAGCGGTTTATTCCCATGTGTCCCGAACATGGGTCATCATGAGAAAGTTTTAAAAGGTCGCAACGCATCTTTCGAGGGACAACCAAAACTAGTCGCTTCGATGGAGTACCTTTATCTACACAACGGTGTAGAACGCCATCTACCATTTCTAGTTGTGACCACAACTGTCTGTAGCGTCGCCTTTCACCATTCTCCTTAGAATTATCATTATCATTTCCTTCCTCTGGTAGATCATCGCTGCAGCTTAACTTCTGCATTATCATGGAAATGCTTGGGTCGTCCTGTTGTGCCTTTAAGATTTCTGTCTTGGACCACGACGTGCACACCTCGGTACCGTTTACACCGACCATCAAGTCCTCATCCACGCTTTGGTCTGGTATCTGCGGGGGTGTCACTCGAGGGAAACGCGATAAGGTATCTGCGTTGCTGTGTTGTCGACCCGGGCGATGCTTGATTTCGAAATCGTACTCCTGTAAGGCAAGGATCCACCTGGCGAGACGACCCTTCGGTTCTTTCAATCCTTGCAACCACGTTAAACTTTGATGGTCTGTCACTATGTCAAAGGTGTTTCCGAGTAAATATGGCCGCCAATAATTGACTGTCCAAACAATGGCTAGACACTCTTTCTCCGTGGTTGAGTAATTTTTCTCTGCAGACGTAAGGGTCCGGCTGGCATACGCGATCACGTACTCGTTTTCACCTCTTCGCTGGGACAAGACAGCGCCGAGGCCGAAATCACTGGCATCCGTATAAATGGTGAAAGGAACGGAGAAGTCTGGTAGGGACAAGATAGGTGCTGAACACAGACGACTTTTGAGGTCATTAAATGCTTTGTCGGCCACAGGTGTCCAACAAAATTCTGGTTGGCCACCCTTGGTTAGGTCGTGGAGCGGTGCAGCGATGTCCGCAAAGTTCTTAATAAACCGTCTATAGTATGAGGCCATCCCAACGAACGCTCGAACATCGGTGAGAGAGGTCGGGGTCGCAAATTCTCGCACGGCCTCAACTTTGGACGAATCTGGTTCTGTTCCCCGTGCAGATACAATGTGGCCAAGGAATTTCACCGATTCTTGTGCAAATTGGCACTTGTCTCGCTTGATCTTCAACCCTGCTGCCCGAATACGACGAAATACTTCGTCCAAAATACGTTGATGTTCCTCCCACGTATCCGAGAAAATAATAATGTCATCCATGAATACTAGGCAGCCTTTAATACCCATCAATATATTCCCCATCATGCGCTGAAATGTGGCGGGAGCGTTAGTTAAACCAAAGGGCAAAGCTGTAAATTCATAGTGGTTCGCACCAACGGAGAAAGCCGTTTTCTCCATATCCTCTTCCCTTAGAGGTACTTGCCAGTACCCGGAAGCAAGGTCCAAGGTACTAAAGTAACGCGCACCGCCTAACTGGTCCAGAATTTCGTCTATACGAGGCATAGGATGAGCGTCCTTCTTTGTCACCGAGTTCACTCGCCTAAAGTCAACGCAAAATCTATAATCCCCGTCTTTCTTCGGAGCTAATACGATTGGTGAGGACCAGGGACTGTTACTAGATCGGATTACACCTCTTTCGATCATGTCGTTCACTTGCTTGTTCACTACAGTGTTGAGATGAACAGGAATTCTATAAGGCCGTTGCTTCACAGGACGGCTGTCTCCTGTGTCAATCGAGTGTTCTGCTACCGTGGTTCGGCCTAAAGGGTCATTTGGTCCGCTTACAAAAATATCTGAATAATTATCTAACAGTACGCTTAATTTATTGACAGTTGGTGCAGTTGTCTCGATTACCAACGCCACTTCTCCCGATGGCCAAGTTAATTTCGAATTTGCTATATCCACGACCATTCGCCCTGACTTCAAAAAGTCAGCACCTAAAATACAGGTGTTCCTCATTCCTACGACCATAAACTGGTGGGATATAGTCAATGTGCCGATACTGAGTTCCAATTCTTTCATTCCTAGGACTTGTAGTTCCTCTCCACCGATCCCTCTTGCCTTCAACAAACATGGCTTTAAAGGCCCACTTATAAGTTCTCGACTTATTAACGATACCGTTGCACCTGTATCCACCAAACATTTTTGCTCATGGGCACCCACTCGTGTCTTGATGAAAACCGCAGTAGGCTGGATACAGTTTATGGGCAAGGCCGTATTTTCTTGGACGGACCCCCGGCCTAGTAATGGGTCGGTCCTTGGTCGTTTCCCTGACGCGGTTGACCAGCGACAGGGGACTGGTATCTAAATCGGCATTCTCGCGCAAAATGTCCGATTTGCCCGCACACGAAGCAGTAATTTTCGGCGCTGCGTTGTCGGTAATTTGGTTGTCGACTTCCGTTACCGGTGCTTCTACACTCATTGGCGATGTGGCCCATCTTGCCACATTGATAGCAAGGCCCCCGTCTTCCCCGAGTAGAATTTCGCGCTGACGTGGCGTTGACATTGGCGACAGATACAGATAATTCACTAACCTTCCTGGTAAGTGTTTCTACATTTTCCATCAACTGCGCAACCAAGGGCTGATCCCTCGTTGTTGTCTGCAAATTGTCGCTCGCACTTGCCAGGTTGACTTGACTCCCGGTTTGGTGCGATGAAATTTGACTCACTAAATCTAGTTGCTGGGCAACCGCAACCATTTCTTCATAGGACATGCTTGGTCGTTGTAATAGTTCCCTTTTTAGTTCTGTGGGTACTCCTTCGATAAATTGTTGCTGGAGTAGGACATCTCTGTCTCCGTTTTCGATTTTTGGCATTGCGCGCCTTAATAGTGCCTCTAAATTGTAGGCGAACACTTGTATGTCTTCGTCTGGCTTTCTCGTTCGACTGCGAAACGCCATCATTGCAAGATGTTCGCCCGTTGTATCTCCGCCAAACGCCGCCGTTAAAGCTTTCGTAAGGGTTTTATAATCTTCTTTGGCCTCTGCTGCGAGACGCTCAAAAACTGCGAAGGCCTTACCAGACAAAAGTGTCGGTAACCTTTTTAACATGTCGGTATCTTTTCAGTCGTTTGCGGTCGAACAAAGCTCGAATTTTCGCAGCCATAAAACAATATCCCCATCTGAAAAGGTCTCGGGAAGCGCTACGCTCGTACGACTCGAAGTTGCCATCCTGGTCACGGCACCAAATGTAATATACACAAACAAGGAAACAATACTATTTCAAAAGAGCTCTTGTTGTTATATTCGTCTTGTATACAATCACATTTCCCCCAGTCTCTACCTGTCATCAGATATCTATATAAAACGTCTCTTATTACTTAATCCCTATTAAACCATATAATCACTAGCATATGTTACACCGCCAAGACGTCACTTTGCTCCGGAAGTAATTAGTATGCAAAATCTATGACGTCACTTTGCTGGGCAAGCCTGGGCCAAATGTGTCAGGTAACGCGACCTATTAGCATCACAATACAGTAACGCGATCAGTTAGCGGCACAACACAGTAACGCGACCAAACAAAGTAAAGTTATCAGAGATTATAAATATCGTGTTTCGAACACACATTTCATTTCTCACTATTGCATTTTGGCAAGTGTTCTCTGGTTTCTTGATTTATTTTTTAGATTAATATGTTGGATCTGATCAAGGCTTGTGAGGCCGAAAGTGAGCTCGACTTTCTCCAGGAGTCGTTTATGCTCACTGAAGAACAGAAGGAAGCTGTTCTTCAGCAACGCATTATATTCTGGACGAATGCTATGGCTGAGGATATTGCATGGGAGAATCCAATTGGTGTTGTTGATGGCTCCATGGATATTGGACCGAGGATCAACGGCGCCAGTTTAACGCGGACTGGGCTAATGATGATGGTCTATGCGAGCTCGAACAGTTGCCTGAATCGTCAGAAAACCAAATAGGTGAAGGGAGCAAGCGAAAGCACGCCAGTGACAACGTCCCCTTAAAACGCCAAAGACCAGAGGAGTATTTTACAATCAAATCGGCGAAACAAGTCAACGTTCGCAAGTTCAGGACGACAGGTACACATTAAACTGTTTTTATATTTTTAAGCGTAACATCAGTTACGTGTGGGATATAGATTGATTTATTATAAGAAACGTGTTTATTGCTTGTGTCTTCATGGCTATCCAATGCATTATTTGCAATCTTTTTATAAATGGCCATAACTCTCAAATGAAGCTTTAGTATTTACAGGGCTTATGATTGGAATTGTTCGTACAATCCACGACCTCCCGTTTTTAGGTATCCTTTTCTGGAAAATTATTCTATATTACCGGGTAATAATGCTACAATAATCTATATGATAATTATTGCTGTATGTTCAATTAGTGATAGCTATTAGAGGACATTTGATGCTGTCCATGGAATTTTGAGTGTTTAAGGCTACTTGTTACCAGCCATAGTCTTTCTGATTGCTATTGCTTGGCTAGTACAATAGAGTATTACGGTTTTTAGGTACAGACTACACTTTATTTATTGAACGTTCTCTGACTTAATATTTATTTCTACGAGCTTTCGGCTATTCCTGCCTTCGACGGGTGTATACAAATGATTCTATAAAGGACGCTAAACTTAAGTAGGTGGTATGAAATCTGAGACTATCTATGCTATGTTATAAATGGGTAATATGAATATTTAATTAATTAATGTTTCTTGAGTTCCTTTCTTAAAAGTCTTAAAAGTATTGTGTATTGTGCTGGAAGCGTATTAGAGTTATTATCAGCTTCGTCTGTTAGTGCAGTGTGCCAGGACTCTAAGGTTTTAAGGTTTCTATGATTTCCCTTGTCTATCACTCTAGCATTGGCAAAGTCAATTACATGATCTTGAGTCCATGCGTGTTTTGCAACATTCGATCCCTTCTTGCTTTGTTTTACATTCCTTACGTGTTCAGACTTTCTCGTCTTCAGGGACGTCCTTCCTTTTTCGCCTATGTAGCTCCAACTACAATCTTGACAGGGTATTTGGTAGACCACGTTCTTTTGCTCTTCAATTGGTGGTTTCTGTTTTGCAGATGGACACTGGCGTTCGACGGTTTTCACTGGCTTATTGTAAACTTTGTTGTCATGTTTTTGGAGTGTTCTGGCTAGGGGTTCGGTTAGTCCTTTGATGTAAGGTAGAACCGCGATTCCTGCAGGTGGCGACTTTCCTTCGACTAATTCGAAAAATGACCGGACTAACTCTTCAGGGCTTACTACAGTTTTGTTCTTACGTTTTTGATCAATCCTTAAATTAATTTCTTTGGATAGCCATTTGATGCCAGAACTGTTGTTACATGATTTAGTTCTCTTTCTTTGCTTTCGTCTTTTGCATTATTATGGAAAACAATCGTCTACTAACATAACATCTTTTCATGACACACTAAACTCCATTGACCCACACATTAACTTCACTATTGAAAACGAAAAGGACGGAAAGATCGCTTTCCTTGACACATTAATTTCTAGAAGGGACGGCTTAATTTCTATTGACGTTTACCGCAAACCCACTCACACAGACCGTTACTTAAACTACTTATCACACCGCGACCAAAAACATAAAATTAGTACTGCAACAACACTTATCAACCGATCCCTGTCACTTCCTACCACTGACGAAAGCAAAGAAAGAGAACTAAATCATGTAACTACAGTTCTGGCATCAAATGGCTATCCAAAGAAATTAATTTCAGGATTGATCAGAAAACGTAAGAACAAAACTGTAGTAAGCCCTGAAGAGTTAGTCAGGTCATTTTTCGAATTAGTCGAAGGAAAATCGCCACCTGCAGGAATCGCGGTTCTACCTTACATCAAAGGACTAACCAAACCCCTAGCCAGAACACTCCAAAAACATGACATCAAAGTTTACAATAAGCCAGTGAAAACCCTCGAACGCCAGTTTCCATCTGCAAAACAGAAACCACCAATTGAAGAGCAAAAGAACGTGGTCTACCAAATACCGTGTCAAGATTGTAGTTGGAGCTACATAGGCGAAACAGGAAGGACGTCCCTGAAGACGAGAATTCGAAAGTCTGAACACGTAAGGAATGTAAAATAAAGCAAGAAGGGATCGAATGTTGCAAAACACGCATGGACTCAAGATCATGTAATTGACTTTGCCAATGCTAAAGTGATAGACAAGGGAAATCATAGAAACCTTAAAACCTTAGAGTCCTGGCACACTGCACTAACAGACGAAGCTGATAATAACTCTAATACGCTTCAAGCACAATACACAATACTTTTAAGAAAGGAACTCAAGAAACATTAATTAATTAAATATTCATATTACCCATTTATAACATAGCATAGATAGTCTCAGATTTCATACCACCTACTTAAGTTTAGCGTCCTTTATAGAATCATTTGTATACACCCGTCGAAGGCTATAGATTGATAGCCGAAAGCTCGTAGAAATAAATATTAAGTCAGAGAACGTTCAATAAATAATGTTTCAACCTGGCTACGCATCCTCTATTTTTTCAACAGATTACACTGTCCAATTCAACCCATTGGACGTGCACGGGGTGTCAAACGTTATGGCTACGTTAAACAGCGCTTTTCAAAGTTTATTCGATCGTTTGACGAGTGATATGGCACCTCACGATCAAGTCCGCCCGACCCTCAACTCGCATCAGCTGGATCGATCCATTTCCTTGCCTTTCCTACAACGAGATCGTCTGACGCCTGAACGTTTCGTAGCTGCTGTTGAACGTGTCGTACAATCTAATGATCAATTCACCTTAGACGACTCTGTTAGCGTCAACGTGGTTCATTTAAATCTAACATCAAATACCCATGAGGTTGGTTCGTAGTATCTTCGTAACTCCTCATAAATCCTTGCACTCAGTTCCGGGATTTACTTGCGTTGCAAGCACAGAAATTTGCTGTTTATCTCTTGGTGACTTGAACAGCACAATATAATGGCCGCCGTTTAGACTGATATTTCTCATCTCTTTGCCCTGATGAAATATATTTTGAACAATATAGATGATGGACAAATTTCGATGATGACTTCCTTTCGTAA